CCCCCCCCCCTTGTGAATACTGTAAATTAAAAATGGTCAACTTGCAGTCGGGCTGTAATTGGCAATTCCCCTCAGATTGACATGCAAAAGATTATGCAACAGGTTTAGTACTTGCAGAAGCCACCCTGGGCTATAAATATCCCTGTTGCAATAGTACAGTATTTTAGATGAGACCATCAGGAGAATGATGTCACAAGTCCGTAAATAAAAGGTCCTTCTTTCTTGGGCACTGCAGAGAGCAGGCGGGTGTGGTGACTGCATTATTAGACGCGCAATCCCCGGCGCGAAAGCTCACATTAGACCACGATGTGGACATTCCCGTCACGGCTTTCTACCATCGCTATGACTACCTGCTACTTATCGTACGTGTCTTGAAGTTCAAATCATTCATCTGCAGCCGGGAAATTTGAGCAAAAATAATAATAATAATAAAAATGCCGATCTAGCGTTTATTCTGACAGTCACAAGGTGCCCACTGACGGTGCGCCTGCCCAAGCCTCGCGTTTGATAGAGAATACATGTGCAATGACAATCTGACATCTGCTCTCCATCTGACAACAGCTCAGTGTTCTCCACAGATACCCCACTCCCCCCTCGAGCAACACCCCCACCCCTTCTCCACCACCACCACCCCATGCCGTTTTTATGTGCCGCTTTTCCCCTCGTGCCCCACTCTTTTCCCCCCCATTCCTATGCGGCTGTTTTTTCTTCTTCTTCTTCCTTTTTTCTCCTCCATCCTCGATCCAGCTCATTTCCACACTCGGAACAACAACCAAATTGAACAGCGGCTTCATAAAATATGCAGATAAAAGGAAAGACAAAAAAAGAAGCAACTCGGAAAAGCACCGACATCTCAAGCACAACACTTTTCATGCTCTGCCGAGGACTGACCTCCCAGTCTAACGAATGCCACTCTTCGGTAAACATCCGGAGGATTTCTTTTCATCCAAAAAAGCGGACCAGGCGCAGCAGCTCTATGGAGCGACTGGGCGATGCGATGCCATTGCGCTTTTGGTATTATCCTCATGAAATCAATTCGAACAGAGGGACGTCGTCGGAAGAAGGCATCTCGTCGGCGTCTAGACCAACTTGAGCGACACAGATGAACGATCCTACGCTTTGCAGTCCAACATTTCTTTTCTTTTTTTTTTCTTTCTTTTTTTTCTCTCTGCGATGGTTGCAACCAATTAGCACACCACTTGCGCTCGGAGGCGAATAGCTCCTGACAAGGCGCTCCTTCTCTTGAGCATCGCTTCTATTTCAGCTGCTGTGCTGCTTTTTGGAAAAAAGGTGGCAGACTATACAACACCCGCAACTTTCCAGGATACGGGGGGGGGGGAATTTTTTTTTTTTTTTTTTTTTTTTTTTTTTTTTTTTTTTTTTTTTTTTTTTTTTTTTTTTTTTTTTTTTTTTTTTTTTTTTTTTTTTTTTTAGCATAGCGCATACTCCAAAGCCAATAAATCCCCGTAACGCATTTGACAAATCCTTTTCCCTCTGCTGAAGAGGAGCAACAATAAAAGGAAGCGTTTAAAGGTCCCTTCTTAAAACACGTGACTCCAGCCTATTCCACGGTGAAAACAGATGCATTTGATCCATAACAGGCCTTAAGCAGTGGAGGAAGCATTTATGTAGTGGTTGGGGGGAGGGGGGTCATGGTAAAAAAAAAAAAAGAAAAATGAATGACACCGGTACCACACAGGAGACTACTCACCATTAGCACAGCAAAGTTATTATGGTGGGTGCAATGAATGGTGGTCGTGTTGCCCCCGGAGCCTGTTATGTGGCAGCCCTCTGCCCTCCAGCCACCGTGTCCATCCAGCAGGTCAAAATCCCAATAGGCTGCGGTGGGGTCTACACCCAGCGCGAAGTGCCTCAGAGCAATAGTAACAGAGTGCACGGCGCTCCCGAGGCTGCACCCATCTGCAAGGAAAGCAACACATTCAGTAAAGGAAATCATGTGGAAAGTCTGTAAGTGCTGTGGCACAAAAAAAGCATGGGCATGAGAGGACGAACCCCCCCCGGCCGCTATACACACACACACATGCACACAGGCTAGACAAGTGTCAGACAGCTGACTGCAGGTGATAGACTGGTGTGTGAAGTGTTGCAGTTAACTTTCATTTCAAATCGAACCAAAAAATAATAATATTTTTGCTAAAACATGGTGTGTTTTCGGACATGATGCAGCAGCGGAGTGTGCAGGGTGATCTGAAGCACGCGCTGCTCTCTTTAATCAGAGTAAATGAAACCGCAACAGAGTTCTTTCATTTATTCCGGGAATACGCACGGGAGCGGTGTGTCAACATGTTGCGCAGAGCAAACTGATGGACTACGGCTATGTCCGCGTGTGTGTGCGTGTGTAAAGCATGTCCGTGTCGGCAAATACAGCACGGCGTTGACATCACAGGCATGATGATAAAAATGGATTTCCTCTTACCTAATTTGGTGAAAGCAACTGGTGTTGAAACGCTCCTACGCTTCCCGTCGTCTGCGAGATTTGACGAATTGCCGGTGCAAGGGAAGAGTTTCCCATTGCGAAACACAATAAACTGCAGCTTGCAAGTGGAGTTATCAACAGATTGCAACGGCGAGGAAGAGATAGGCGTACCAGCCAGCGGTAAATGGATTGAGGCGACTGCCACTGAGTTCTGCGGATGGAACAAAAAAGAAAGAGAGAGAGAAGAAAATAAAAATTAAATAATGTGTCGGTGATGCGCTGTGGGAAAAAAACTATGTTAAAAAAAAGAAAGAAGAAGAAAAAACTGAAAAAAAAAATCCTTTCCTCTCCGGGAGTGGAGGCGACCATAGACCAAAAGTGACCAAGGGAATGAGAATCACGTTTGAAGCGCTCTAGTGCGCCTATTTGGTCAAGCTCCCTGCCGCAGAGGTGGAAATGGTTCTTACCATTTCAGCTTGAGGGCACATCAACACTGCAGCTTGATTTAAAGAGACAACCGGTCTGACTTTATCTTCTTTTTAGCAACTGTAAACACCAAAGAACACAAATAACATCCCTGGTGAGATTTTTTTTTTTTGGGGGGGGGGGGGACAGCTTGGGAATGCCAAAGTGAAGACTCTCGCCATCTTTAAGCAGAAGTAAATCCAAACTGTAATGTAAACCTGCCTGTAAAATAAAAAAATCCCCACCAGAGTTGCATTCAAGATCCACATTCCCACTGATTTGTTATGACCTGAAGCAGATCATTTTATATTCCGACCAAATAACTAAGTAGCCCATACTGTCCAAGAAAGTCTGAGCTACAATCAAGATCCAGCAGCCCCACAAGAGCGGCATGATTACAGCTTCGGGAACTTTGGCAAAGCTCACGATTTAGTAACTTGACATCCTGGTGGACAGAAATGTTGCTCAAGGGTGTGTGGACCAGTGAGTGACTGCATTTAGGACAGGACAGGCAGCACTTAGGCTGCCAAAGAGCAAGTTTAATCAGAAAAAAAGGCTTCCAAAGTGCCACTGTCAGCATGTGTGGCCACACACACTTAACTCTGCGCAACTGATATATCTGCATCAGCTCATGAATTCCACATGCCATGCACAAATACAGCGGAGGGAAGTGTGGCGTGCTTGGAAAGTTAAGCAAACGCGTGTTTAAAAAGAAAAGGCTTTCTGCTGACATTATCTGAGCTGTGATTTTATTCAGAAAAGTGATAATTCTCTAGTCAGGGACCTTCATCAGAGTGTGAAGCAGCGATTAAACAAGCTGACATCTTTGTTGTTGTTGTTGTGAAGAAGTGATTACAACAGAAAATGTTCTTTCAAATGAAGCCAGCACCTTGGGTTATTAACAGAATTTGCGCGCCATGAACAGATTTCTCGGAAGAAGCAAAATGACTGACCCCGCACATTGATTCATCAGATGACCCTGATGGAGAATGATGCTAATGACAAGGCTGCTGATGATACCCCTTCATAATAGGCATAATGACGGCATCTTGCTTGCGGCTTGCTTTCCGAATGCAGTCTGTTTTTAATCAGCTTTCAATCGCTTCACCCTCCCTGGCGTGAGAGGATCAGCACTTTGAACCTAAAGGGGAGGGAAGCTTCCTGCCAGAGATGAATGTGGATGCACGGAAAGTGCCCTTACAGTTAATGGGTAGCTGCTTAGTCAGATGTTCAGCCCAATCAATGCCGAGGAGGAAGATAGCCAAATTTCTTAATCGAGTTAATCAAGAGCTTCCTTGTCCAGTATTATGTTGATTACAGTAACCGTGGCGTTTGTCCAGCCTTTTATTCTGCTTTGTCCTGATTGTCCTGGTTCCTTCTGTATCCTAGAAAATAAATATACACGGGTGCCAAAGAGCAGCTGTGTGCTTAAGCACAGTTCTTTTTACGTCCGAGACACCACGGCAGCATCAGCTTTGTTAGCTATTTGTTTCTGCATTGACTCACTCTTGAAAAGGTGTTGATTTTCACCCTGCAGGGTGTGTGTGCATGTGTGTGTGGAGGGAGAGGAAGAAAGACAGAGGATCTTTGCCTTGAAATTTATGTTGCATCATTTCCTTTCTGTGAGCAGCTCAAGCTTGGCAGTCTGTTTCCAAGACGTCACAGGATACAGACATCAGGGATGGAGTCAGGGAGGATTTCAGCCTAGGTGACGATCTAGGTGGTGTTAAATACGGGCCCTGGCGTGCTATTCGAATGCAGTGAGCACAGATTCCGAGTGACCCATCATCCCCAGGGGAAATGTTTTCAAATCGCACAAATTCAAAAAAGAAACCTTATCTCGTATACTTGTCTCTGCATCTCTTCCTACATCTGTTATCCCTTTTTATGTGGCGTATCAAAGTGATTTACAGCCCGGGGTGTGTGTGTGCGCCATAAGCCATGGCGTGCGTAAGGTCCCATTCTCAGCAACAATCTATGTTCCTCCTGAGCAACCTAAACAGCTACATTTCCTCAACCCCAATGCCACCAGGGACCTCACACTTCAGAGTTGATTTAGCTGGTTGTACCTCAGCTGCCTGACCTTCCTCCAAGCCCCTCCCTTTTTTAACAGGGCAGCATGCTGTAGTCTTAGTAACCATAATCACACGCTCCCCTCCATCTCTCATTCTAGCCTTCCCCCTGCTTATTCTTTTATTCTCTTCCTTATAGAGGGCAGTTAGGTGAATGTCAGCAGTCACCTCCTATTTCAAGCTGTTCCTTGCTCGTCCACCTCCCTCCCTCCAGCCTCCTCCTGCCTGCTCCTTGATGCACAGCCCTGCTTGATGGAACCACCAAGCTGCAAAACAGCCTGCTGGGCAAAACACAACAGCGGCGTTTGACCTGGGGTGGCCACCAAATCACAGCATAAACATCGTGCTTAAACACAGATTCCTGACTTTACAGGAGCGATTGCTATTTAGACAAAAGAGGTGGAAAATTAGGAGAGCCACTTTAGTGTGCAATCCAAAATTAGAAAGAGCCACAGCTCTGTGCCTTTGTAGATATATCTGTGGGAGCGATACAGCTATTTATTTGCGCGGGCGGAAACTTGAAAATTAAGTATGAATGGAATGGATTTAGCTCAAAGGGCAGCTTGCTGAGCTCGCCTTCAGCCAAGAAGAACTGCTGACAAGCACGATGGGAGACTTGCATAATTTTTCTGTTTCTTTTTTTTTCTCATAATCATTGGCAGTCCAGTCAGCACAGACGTGGTCAAAGGCGCAGTGTCCATGACAAATAGGTAGACATCAGGAGACTTCAGGGGGATTGTTTCTACCCCTGATGTTTTAGAGTGATTCAGAAAATAAATCACAGTTTGCTCAGAAACATTTTTTTTTCTCTTTAAACAAAAAGCTTGTACACAGGATGCTGCCAGAGCTTATTCAATATTTGAACACACTTGTATCTCCTGACACCGAAAATACAAATAAAAGGAAACACGGCTCTACAGCAAATGACTGCTGCTCGCGAGATTCAAATGCGTTTTGCTCTTGAGCAATTTTACGCCGTGGCGTTGTTAGCGTTACATATCAAGACAAATTAAACACAATCCCACACGGTTGCCATGCCAACAGGAATCTGTTTCACCCCCTACATGAGTTGTGTGGCGTCGTCGTGTTGTGTTGGTTAGTTGGTTGGGTGGGGGCATTTGAGCAGATATGAAGCAGGAAATCAGCGTCTTTGGAGAGGCTGAGCTGTGCTTCAGCTGTCAGCCACGCTCTCCTCAGTCAGCTCTGACTCAAACTGTCACATCACAGTGTAGTGGCGTAACAAAAACATTCAAGAGGCCGCAGCAGATGGACAATCCTGTCTGACTGAAAGGCCGTTTTGGATTACAGATTAATTAATGAGTATGTGGTGGATAAAACTCATGAATTTGCTGCGAGGTGACTGATAAAGAGCCATAAAAGAACCTTAAAAGGGGAATTCACATTTCCATCATAGTGCTTTAATGCAAATATTTGAATTTCACTGGTCAGTAAGAGTTTGTCGCATTAGTCAGTCATTGCCACGTCAGCGTAGCCTACGTGCCCATTATTAGTGAAAGCAAAGATAACTGTGACTCACTACAGTGTGCCTTCTGAAAGAAAACATTTTTATGCACTACCACAATGATAAGAAGCAATTTGCGCACACTAAGAAAAAAGAATTATTCATTGCTCTGACTCATCTCCCATCTACAGTCGGTACCATAAATATTTGGACGGTGGCACTTTGTGTAATTTTGTCTCTGCTCAGCACAAAAGATTTGAAATGAAGCAATCAGGATGGGAATGAAGCTAGACTTTCACCTTTAATTTAATTTTAAGGGTTTTAACAAAAATATGCTCTTACTTTTGAGAGCTGACAGCCAGGTTCTGCTGTTTCCTGAGTGTTTCTTGAAAAATGAAAGGCGATAAAAGGTATGGAGTTCATTCCAAGTATTGAATTTGCATTGGTAGTATTTGACAGGAACCCTTGATATGTGATCTGAAGTGTTGTGGATGCACGAGAAACCTAACAGCAAGGCGATAGAACCTTTAGGAGTCGCCAAAACTACAATGTTTGCTTTTAAAATTAAACAACAAAGGCCTAAAAAACCACAAGACACAATAAAGTGGATAACTGAAGAATTCATTTCTTAGTAATAAAAAAAGAAGAAGAAAAAAGAGTTAAGAAAAGTCAAGATTTGCTTTTTTCTGTTTCTAAAGAGGATTTATACATTAATGCTGAAAGAGTGAAAGGTCAGATTTGGACTGGAAAAACCTGCCCAGCTCTGCAAAAAGAAGCGATGATGTGGAAACAGTGTATAAAGTCAAACGCTGCAAAATGTAAAGAAACAGAACTCCAAAGTGCAGATAGATAATGACCCAAAACATCATTTAAAAAACAACCCAAGAGAATGTTCTCAAATGGCCAAGTCCTCAACTGACCTCAACTGAGAATGCATTTTATTCACTGAAGACACAACTGAATGCAAAAACATGCGAACACAAGCAGTGGCTGAAGGTAAAAGCCAGACAGAGCATCTCAAGGGAGGCAACGCAGTATTTTGTGATGCCCATGGGTGACTCCAGGCAGTCACAGACTGCAAAGGATTTTCATTCAAGTATTGTGGATAATAAGTTTAACTCTGTTGCTTTCTCCAATTAGTTTTAAACGTCTAAAATTGGAATGACTATCGCTCCAAATCTTTAAGGAGTCTATAAAACGGCTAATGTAGGG